CGCGGCCGTTCCCCTATTCGGCGTCTCGCGGCCGTCCTCCCGGTCGTCCTCGCGGCCGTTCCCCTATTCGGCGTCTCGCGTTCCCCGCCGAGTTCCCTGCCGCAGAGGCGCATCCGACGCGACGCGCGTCTCCGGCGATCGACGACCGACGACGTTCCCCGTTGCTGGGTGAATGGCTGCAGCGGCGGCGGCGGCTGATGAACGGCCATTCGCCGCGGATGTCGGCAAGCAAGACGAGACACGTTCCGTTGATATTGAAGAGGAGGAGGGTGAACAACACTGCGGCAACGGTAGCGATCGGTCGTTCAAACGCCACCGCCGCCGCCGCTGGTGCCGCGATGCAACGGAAACGCCGCAAGCAAACGATGTCGGTGCTCGACGACGACGACGACGTAGGTAATCGTCCATGGTCGTTGCTGTCGCCTGGCGAAGAGGCCGACTCGCGGCTGTTTCGATCGATGGACGTTAACGCAGAGGAATCGCCACGAGGAGGCGTCGAGACGAGGATACCGCTGCCGGGGCGGAACGAGACACCTTTGACGCGGTAGCGTATAGGTACGTACAGCGGTGGAGCGTGCAATTATGTTTACACGTACATACATACATATATATATATATATGTACATATGGGAGATCGGGGCTGGTCGATACATCTTTTTACAATTTTTTAACACGCGATTGGTAAAAGAGTACCGCAAAGACATCTCTCGATAGCTTTGACACGCTTCCACGACATAGAAATTATTTTTTTACAATTCAATAACGCAACTACCTTTTTTTGGTTGTATCGATGGAAAATGTAAAGCGATGCGACTCGTGACAACCGACCCCTCCGCGTCATATTTGTCACACGTCAATCGTTGAAGCAAATAATATATATATATATGTATTTGAGACGTCGACGATAAGCTATCGCTGCTTTTGTGGAGTAAAGATTGCCAAAAAAATAGTCGGAGTTATGACGCAACAAGCAGATTTATAAACGTAATTATTTAATATATCTCTGATTCATTACGAGCGTGCATTGGTTTCGAGGAATCGATATCTCAAAAAATGATTTATCGTTACAAATACCCAAGTATAGGTAACGACCGTAATTGAAATACTTGGCTTCGTTTTCTATAACTTTTGTTACCAGCGAGAGAGAGATGAATTTCACGACGGAAACATCTTTCCTCTGAATCGACGCGACGCATTTTTTCGAATTTTACGAAAGCGCGTGTCCTCCGGAGCATATACGTATGTGTCGCGTCGATCGCAACGAGAGACAATCAGCGAAAGAGGGGGAGGACCTACCATTTCAGCTTCGATGGCGCATTTGCCTCACCAATGACGCAACGCGAGGACAAAGGTGCCGTTCGCGAAACTTCAATTTTTTTTTAGACGATACAAACGCGACATTTACCGCGTCCATCGCTGGTAAAGAACGATTAAATATCACCAAGCTACGTCGCGAAGTTGGATCGCTGAGAAACGGCTCAGCCGCCATCGCGTCTGCGCGAAAACGCCGACTCTACCGCCATTGTCTCGCGAGAACCCCCCCCCCCCGAGTAACGCTCCTACAATATTTCGCTTACTTTGGGCGTCGGAAAAAAACCGCGAAATTATTTTTCATTCCTGAAAATTGCGCTATTTGGTCAAAGCGATATCTTCTCGCGGCACGACCGTAGTCGGTAGCTACGTATCGTAGGCGGGTTCTGCCCCCCCCCCTCGGGGGAGCTCCGAGGGGGGGCAGGAGGCGAGGCCGCCGAAAGCCGCTCGCTGGCCCGACCCGGGATCAGAGATCGGCAAAAAATTAATAATAAATTAATATTATTTGATTACTTGATTAATCATTAATCAAATTAAAAAAATTTTTGATTACTTGATTAATCATTAAT